ATTGTGTGTGTGTCTGCCTGTTGAGAATGTCCATGGAGAGTAGATGTGGTAGGCGAGGTCTGGGTGCAGTAGAACGTGGGTCATGTCCTCCTCCATCCACCTGGGGTGCTCTCTCTCCCTCCCTGACCTCGCTGACTCTTCTCCACTACCCTTCTGTTCTCACCCTGTGACATGAGGGTCCGTCCCACATGGCTGGTTTGGATTCACATCCATACACTCCTTCATGCTGGCTCATAACCATCCCAACAAAATGAGGTATTATCACAACCATGCGATTTTTTTAAACCATAAACAACAAAATGACAGGTACTTAGTCCACAGCAGGAAAACCTCATAGTAATGCAGCTCAGTGACAGAAACCGGACACACAATGGAATCAGGTTTTGTGTGATTCCGTTTATTTGAAATGTCCAGGAGAAAGAAACCCATAGAAACGAAATCAGATTGTTTTGTCTGGGGTTGACCAGGAGGACAGATGGGAGATGGACTGTTTGGTGTGTTGCTTTTATTTTTTACTTTTATTTTTCTGGGGGCGGGGGAGGGGAGGGAATTTAAAACCTTCTTGAAACAAGATAGACATTGTCATTGAGACATTGTGTATTTACTGCATTCTAGTGAATTTCCTATTTTAATTGCATGTTATGTGACTATTGCTTCAATAAAAATAAATGCAAGTGAAACACGAATGGTTCCCTACAGCTCCCTTATACCTTGGGGGTTGCACCACTGGTGTCCGTGGAGTTTTATGGGAGCAGGACTCCCACCAGGTCAGAGGTGCCCTTAGTGCCTTAGTGCTTAGGACCAACCCACTCATTAAATTTCCACCTTCACTCCTGACCTGGGCGCTGAGTCTAGGATCCAGGCTGAGGCCCAACATCCCTGCATCCTTGTGTCTGCACTCATCTGCCATTCAACCAAGGATGCACTATGGTTTCTGATTTACCTTGTAAGCTTGGGGGATACACATGCTGCTTCCTAACAGCCCTTCCCAGCAGATGTCTCTCATACACATGCCTTCATAAAGTCAGAAAATGACACCAGATTTTCAGCAGGCTTGGGCAGGTGGTTGAGCGTTGACCTATGAGCCAAGAGGGGATGGTTCAATTCCTGGTCAAGGTACATGCCTGGGTTGGTGGTTCCATCCGCAGTGTGGGGATTGCAGCATGTGCTTGATCAATGATTCCCTCTCATCATTGATGTTTCTATCTCTCACTTCCTCTCTGAAATTAATTAAAGAAATTGTAAAAAAAGAAAGAAAATGACACCAGGTTGAGGCCCTCATGTCTCCGGCACTGCCGATCCCCATAACAAACTCGTAGATGAGGTTTCACAACCTCATGCAAAGAAGGAGAGGAGACTGGCTTAAAATAGAAGTTCAATAAATGTGTCCCCAGGTCTCAGATTGTAACCTGGGAATTGTCTCCAACATGCTCATCTACCGAAAGCGTAGAGATGGAATAAACAGAATTAGACAAAGAGGTACAGCCTGGGGGACAAGAGGCGGTGAGGAGGTAGAAAGGACTCTGAAGGTTTGATGGAGTGGGCTGGAGAGCAGGGGCTCTGCTCTCAGAATAAACGAAGTCAGAGAGAGGAAGTGATAGGGAGAAGCAGCAGCACACACCCAGGCCTGGAGGGCTGTGCTGGTTGCCTCTGTGGGTGACTGACAGTTTTGTAACATCCCCCAGGCCTCCTGTTTCTCTTGGGGTCAGCAACCTTGGCCCAGCCCCATTGGCTTCTGCAGGCAGCCAAGGCGGAGAGAGGACGAGACCTCCATTCTCCCCACTTTCTCCTTTACACACTGAACCCATTTCACTGTTCTGGCTCCCGGTTTTCCTTTCTGTGATCCAGTTCTTCCCAAAGACAAGCTCAGGTGAAGACCCAGGACAGCTCCTTGGTGTGACCCCATCAGCCTCCTTCTGGCCTCCTCCAGACCCCCATTCTCGGCGCAGGTGTTTCATTCTCATGGCCCCAAATGTATCTGTCACCGACCATCCCCTGCACAAAAGGCTGTCCACGGGTCCCCCCTGACTCCAGCAACAGCCAGGGATCTCCACCCGGCAGTTCGTGCTGCTGACCATCAGGCTGAGCTACACTCTCCAGTCTCCTCCTAAGGCCAGTGCCTCCTCATACCACACTCAG